CTGGAGAAGCAGGGGGGTGGGGTTGGGGCTTGTGCAGCGTGGGGCAGTGGTGGGCAGCAGGGATCGCCCCTCGCTTGGCAGCACCCGGTGAGTCGGGGCTTTTTTTTCCCCAAGTGCCGGGAGCTGGGGTGGGCAGAGCAGCCATTGCTGGGCTGGGGGGGCATGGGCCTGGCTGATTTGGAGATTTGGCAGCAGACAGATCTCCAAATCAGATTGGCTGAATCGATTTGGGACAGTGATTCAAATCACTGAATTGAATCACTGTCCCCTGAATTGGCTGAAGCCGAAGTGAATACTAGCCGCTTTGCACAGGCGTAGTGTTCATGTTCTCTTTTCCCAGAGACTAACATCTCACCTTCACTAAGGCAGAATTCAGGTTAAATCAGGGGGTAGCAAGGAGTAGTTGTCTATTCATGCCTCCACTGAAGCACTGAGGTTGTTTCACATAAGTCACCCCACACATGCAAAATATTACTGGCTTTTCACTCTGGTCTGGAGGATTCCTTGAGACATTGTTTTCATTTTGCCCGTGCTAAGCTCTAGAGACCGCTATCACCTGTGTCTGTAGCTTAGCACCATTCACTTAGAGATTCCAGGTCACCTCCATATTCAGGTTCCTGAGCTTCTCAGTTTGGTTGATTTCATTGACTAGTACTTTTTCTGTCAAATAAAGTTGCCCTTTGAAAGCAAAATTTTTGGACATCTATCCACAAGTGGAGACTTGATTAATTGAATCTGCTGGAGTGTGGTAATTGCTGCGCCCCAGCAGCCTCCTGCATCTTGTCTATCAGCATCCCCACATTTAAAAATGGGGGCGGGGGCACTTGAGCTAAAGCTTATTGAATAAGCTTTAGTTCAAGCACTCCCACTGCCATTTTTAAGAGCAGAGACACTGATACAGGGTACGCGGTGGTACTTTAATTAGGGTGGCTTTAAGAGCTACTCTAATTAAAGTGTTGCCCCCCACCTCTGGAGCTCATGTAAAAGTGCCTCTTAGTTCCAGCCTTGCTCTTATTTATCCTTCCATTTAGTTTGAACTGGATCAACTTGAGATCACTCAGTACAGTGTTATTTTCTACAACCAGCTCTTCTTTGATGTCATTTTACTTACCAAAATCAAGTCTAAAATAGGCTTACCTGTTGTTGGTTCAGTGACTATTTAGTGAAAGTTGCTTGGCTCTCGTATTTGGAAATAACTGGGCACTGCCATAATTAGTAATGTTTGCTGTTCAATTTATAACAGGAAGCTAGTCTCCCATAATGATAACTGTTGCTAGGAAGCTATTTAATAACATTTCGGAGATTTCTCCTAATCCATATTTGACCCTAGGTAACTAGAGCAGACTTCAGGCTCTTACCCTAGGGAACCTCTTTTACCATCATCCTCCCAGTGGTTTTAACCTAAACAGATTCTGTTTAATCCATGCTGCTCCTTCTGAATCCATTACCAGGTAGTGCCACATTTATCTTAATTGTCATTTTTTTCTGAAGAATTCATACACTTCAATACTGGTGATGCACATATGATTGCTATTTCATCATTGGTCCTTATTGTTATAATGTGAAGTATCATCTCCTCCACCAGTAGTTCAGGCTCCTTCCTTTTGTTGTACAGGCTCCTTTTATTAGTCTATAACCACTTTAGGTGTTTCTGGCTGACCATTCCCAGTTCCATAGACCGATTAGGTGCACTTCTTGCACTAATTGTATTGTCTGCCTGAAAGTTGTTGTCATCAATCTTAATACTTAATTTCTCCTTAGGGATCTCTCCTAGTGACCATTAATAGTTCTTTATATATTGTAAAATTAAGGTAGAAGAATTAGTAATTCTGTCATTGAAAGGTATATCTCCAAGAGAAGGCCTATAATTAGAAAGAACTTAGGTAGTTTAAAGGGTATTAAGACATGATTTATTTTTATTTTTAGTCCTCTCAGGGTTCCACATTGTAGGTTTATCTATCCAGGTGAAACATCAATGCGTCTTGTGCAACTTCACCATTTATACTATTTTTTAAGATGGTATTTTCATGTTATAAGGGGTCTGACTTGTCATTGTACTTTTACTTCTTTAATGACAGAATGTCTCTAGTGAAGTGAACCAGAGTAAGTGAAACAATAATTCTGCTCAACATGTCCATACTATAGAATTCATTTTATTTTAACTGGGCTTATTCTGTATTTGAAGTATTCAGGACTAGACAGTTAGCCATCTGCTGGGGTGCTTGTGATTAGTCAGAAATAAGAGAATAAAGCAGAACATTCCTGCACTTGCATTGTAAGCTGCTTGTCAGGAGGTTAGGAGCAGAATTGACATTTTATGTATGACTAATACACTAGGATCCTGATGTCAGTATTGCAACAATACAAATAAAATTAGTAATGCCGGTCTGTCTTGCTGCTTTTAGGTGCTGGAGAGCGAGATATGATTGTTATGAGAAATGAAATAGGTCTCAGGCATCCATCTGGACATTTTGAAGACAAATTAATTGATCTGGTGGTCTATGGTGATGATAAAGGATATTCTGCAATGGCTAAAACTGTGGGGTATCCTACTGCTATTGCTGCTAAAATGGTTCTGAATGGTAAGTACCTTCCTTTCCATTTGAATTAAATTATATCTATGCAATTATTGTTTTAAGTAATGACAGGTAAACTTTTTTTTCTAAGAAGTATACATGCCGTTTTGTAAAAACACCCTTTAGAAAAGTCTATAATAGAGGCATTTTGTCATACTGATTTTTTTTTTTTACATCTAAGCTTTGCTACAGTAATTTTAGTGGCAGTTGTGAATAGAGGTGCGCTAATACATTGGTTCGATATCAGGTTAGTACCAGTATGAAGAAAATTGTCTATATTGGATATCGGCTCTATGGGGCCAATAATTTGGCTGATAAATTCCCGTATTGTGTGCAGCTGCAGTGCAGCACAGCACAGAGTTGGTGGTGTGGAGAGCTGCCTTCAGCTGGTAAGTCGGAAGGGGAAGGGGGAAGGAGGGAAGAGGTGTGAGGGGGGCATATCAACACCCCCGCTGTGAGGGAGGGGGCAGGGGCAGGCTCTGCCCAGCCGGTGGGGGAGGGCACAGGAAAGAGGTGTGGCTTGTGGGGTGGGGACAGCTCCCACTGCTGCTTGTACCCCAGGAGGTCTGGGGGGCATGTCCCCCTGGTTTTGTGTGGTGCGGGGTGGGAGGCAGCTGCAGGGTTGAGTCAGAGCTGGTGCTGTGCGGCTCTTCTCACCGGGGGCTGGGCTTGGAGCGGCTCTGGCAGCACTGGGAAGAGGCTGCAGCCACCCCAGATTTTGCTGGAGCTCTGCTCCCAGCGCTGTACCACCGCCCAGCTCACTGCCCCATCTCCATTCAAGCACAGGGAAAAGCTGTGGTGGTGTTGGGCTGGGAGTGGAGCTGCAGTAAAATTTGGGGTGGCTGCAGCCTCCTTCCAGCACCACTGGAGCCAGCTCTGAGCCCACCCCCAGCAGGAAAAGCCCTGTGCAGCACCGGGTCTGGCTCCATGCTGCAGCTGCAGATCTGAGGGCACACGTCCCCCACCCTACTGGGGTGCAAGCAATGGCCGGAGCCGCCCCTATCCCATGAACTGCACCACCTCCACCCCCCCGGGCAGTGCCTGCCTCCGCCCCGTCTCTCACCATGGGGGAGCTGATCTGTCCTCCCATGCCCCTCCCCTCCTCCCTTTCCTTCCACCATACCAGACTTGCTAGCTGGAGACATCTGTATCGGATATCGGATCGGTATCGGATGATATGCCTCCTTAAATATCGGTATCAGCCCCCAAAATCTCTATTGGTGCACCCATAGTTGTGAATGATTGTCACCTATAGAGAATCTTCTGCATGGGGGTTTCCAAGCACTGTTAAAATATATAAATTGTGGATTACAAGTGAACTCCTATGTCATTTTAGCCCTCTCCTACTCCTATATTCTGTTGTCTAATTCTGTAAACCAAGAGAAATTCCAGTGATTGATTTAAAGAGGCCACAGGCTTTATTAGTTATTTCAGTTTTATGTATTCAGAATTTAGCCTAGGGAGAGTGTTTTGTGGAAAGTTTAGATTTATCCCCCAGAAATGTCTTCTGGAGTATTAATTAGTATTTAGAAATAAAATTGGGTGATAGGGATTTAGGGTTAACATATTGGCAGGAGGGAACTGGGTTTGCCAATTCTGTTATGGATAGTCTGTAAGGATGCTAAAAATTTCACTTATATGTCTTCTGCAAAAATTAGGAAAGGGAAGTGAAAAAGTAACTAGAGTTGGAGAACAGAGACTTCTTACAGCTTGCCTACACTTGGAAGCTACTGCAAAATAAGCTCAAATGTGAATTTAAAGTTCCGTAACTATTCCATAATAGTTCTCTGTCTGAACACTGATCCCTGCTTAAGAGAGTCTTGTGTTTGAACTTAGTCTGCTTTCTCACTGTTCGGGAAGTTGATTGTAAGGCTACAATAGATCTATTCTGTGTAAGGGGCTGCTTGCATCAAGCAGAAGTTCTAAATATCTACCATCGTCTTCAGTACTGAGAGTTCATTTCTTAAGGGAATCCTTGCATTCCGCTTGGATAAAGCAGACTATTTCTTGCTTCAACAGGGGTCACCATTTTCATTACACATTCATGCTTTCCCTATTCCATTATCTCTAGTTGCACAACTAAAACAGAATTCTAGCTATACAGTTTGTTTTTGGTTGACTTTTGTAACTGTCTTCCACCCTGCATGCTGAGCTTTCAGCTCACTTGTCAAATGCTAACTAGTCTTAAAGATTACAGATTATTTTGCTAGCACAGAGGTGCTCAAACCCTGACCCATGCGCTAGATCTGGCCTACAGAGCCATGTAATCTGGCCCATAGGTCTTCCCATGGATCCAGAAATTTGCTGGGCTAGGTGGGATGGGGGTGGTAGGACTTAATTGCCATTGCTCCGCTGCTGACAAACTTCCAAGCCCCACAGGGCTAGATCAGTCCTGGCTGGGTCAGCCCTGCACAGAGGAGTCAGACCTCACCCTCGCATGGCTGGATTGAGCCAGGGCCTGACACAAGTTCAATGAAATGGCCTGGCTTCATGAAGCTGTGTTGGGCCCCACAGATGGGATCTGACCCATGGATGGACCTGGGACCACTCATCTTGGCCTGTGGGCTGAAAAGGTTGGGCACCACTGTGCTAGTTCTCAGAGGTCTTTGACATGGTAAATTAACTCCTGCTACATTCAGAAAGAGATTCTATCTTGCAGTATTTCAATAAGTTAGATGCTCTACTACCCACCATCAGAATCAATTAAAATTCAGACTTGGAATAATATTAACCAATTAGCCTTATATGTAAATAAGCACATTCTCTCTTCCTGTAGCCATATTTAATGAAAAAATGACTCATTGGTAAGTTGTTTAGACCTCTGGATATTTTGGGTCTCTGCTTCTTTACTCGCTAAGCAGAAGTGAAAAAAAATCTAATCATCTGCCTTCACCTTTCACTTTTTTTTTAAAAGACTTCTCCATATTTTTGTTGAATCCATTCAAAATATTTATGAAGGTACATATGACAAGTTCCTGTTTCTGTGGGTCTTGACTTTTCTTCCACCTCTGCAGAGTATCAGTACTAACTAGTCAGCTGAGCTTGATACTTGTATATTTCTCTGTAATATTTTCTTTATTTATATTTCAGGTGAAATTGATGCCAAGGGCATGGTAATTCCATTAACGAAGAATATCTATGGACCAGTACTTGAGCGTATTAGATCAGAAGGCATTGTATATAGAACCCAAAGCGTTATCAGACAATAACTGAATATAACAGATTGACCTTGATTTTATTTTTGTAAAGGATTCTGTTTGGCCTTCAGTTATGGGCCCATTAATGGTTGTGCCTACAGTCCAAGACACAAATGATGCCATTTATAAAACTACCTATCTGATTCTGTTGAGCACATTCTAAGTAGTTAGATGCGTAAATTGTATCTTTTTTTTTTGCTTTTGGAATAGGGATTGTTTGCCTATTAGGGCTAGTTAATGTTTTTTTAAAAAAAAAACATGCATCGTAAAGTGCCAAAAATCATTTGACATCAACATATATAGCAAGGAACTATTATGCATACAACATACGTATTTAATACTTACTAACATTTTACTATCATTAAGCACTTTGCTAATTAATTAAATATCTAAGGACGGTTTTGTGTTTAAACAGAAAGCATATGCTTAGAACATGGGAGTTTTGTTACCAAAAGGACAGACCTCAATTGAAAAGAAAACATAGTGTGTATTGTCTTATGAGCCTATTCATACAAGGAGAATAAGTCTAGTTAAGGAGGTCCAGTAAGTAATTTATTATGCTTAATCATTCTCGTCATTTAAATCATTTATACTTTTGCATCTGGTTATTACTTTGATACACACCTCCATATATGTAAATATACATCTTATTAAAAGAGAATGTTGATGTAAAGAAAATGGGCAACAATATTTTTGTACGTTTCAAGGCAGTACGATAGATGCACCATATTTTCCTGCTTATAACATGCTCCAAAATATAATACACACCATGTTTTTGAAAGGGAGAATGAATTAAAAAAACAGTTCCAGCGTTATGGCTGCATGAACAGGGGACAGAGCGTAATTTTCATCTGTTTTACCCTCCTGTTCCTGCTTAGGCTGTGAAATAGGAGGAGAGAGATCAGGAGCAGCTGGCAGACAGCAAAATTTCCCTAAAAAACTTTAGCTTGATTAGTGGAACATCAAGACCATTAAAAAAGAGAGGCATCATTAATACTTATGGAGTGGAGAACAGTAAGCCATTAAGTCAATTTACTCCTTTAGCTGCCTGAACACTAATACCACAGCTGCTGCACTGTTGAGAAGCAGAGTCCTTCTCTCCTAGGCATAAATATTGGCTTTCCTGCTTAATACATGCACTCCAGTGTTAGGGGCTGATTTTGGTGGAGGTGTGTATGTTGTATGCGAGAAATTATGTAATAGCTTTAGATGTATTAGTGCACTTGTAAATCAATTCCTGTGTAATCTTGAAATGCCTTTATTTTAAGTTGAAAATGTATTTGTATCTGCCAAATGTGTCTCTCTGGACCTGGAATCAGTGTAACAGTTGGGAAAGGTTTTTTAGCCCCCCCACCCCTCAAAACAAAAACAAAACCAAAAACCACTTCTCCCCAAAAAAACAAGCAAAGAAAAAGAACCAGTGTTTCCAGTTGCAGAATAGAAGGCTGTTCTGATATGTTGCAATATTAACAAGTATATTTTGCTTTTTAGTTTTAGAGCTCAGTGGCATTTAGTTCTACATTTGGGGTTAGTGAGAGCATTTGGGATGTAAATATAAAGCTGTCAGAAATATCACTTGGAAAAGCTCCTGAGTATGTTTACTATAGATTACTCTTTCCACTTCAGTGGGCCTGAAAGGTTTAAAATAAACAGGCAGTATGGTATAAGGACCTCAAGATACTGCAGGCCTAGAGGTTTAAATCTAGGACATACTGATTTGTTATTCTGGTCCTGGATTTATCTTCTCTTTCCTCTCATTGTCCCACCACTTAAAACCTTTTGAAAATCTCCATCCAGGGCATTAGTCAGGTAGTTCTCCCACTGGAGTCAGGAGCAAGGGACAGAAATTACACATAAACCAATATAAGTAATTGGAAGCCAGTTCAAATCTGTAACACAACAGAAGTTCATTGCACATAACTGCTTTCAAAATGGCCAAAATTGGTTTAAGATAAACCTGGAGGGATGTAGTATCAGACTTAATTGATAAATAATTTATTTAACTTCTGTCCCAGATCCCCTCCAGATTCAAATTAACTCTCAGTCCCCCAGCATCCCGGGATACTTTGCACCTTTCCTGTAAACCTCCCTCTCAAGGTGGGTGGGTTAGCCCAAGCTGTCTGCTTCAGCCAAGCAGGGAGGCATGCTCTAGCACCCCCTGGGATCAGACTTATGTCATTGCAGGCATGTGGCTGCATTTCTGGTATCAAAACTGAATGAATGTCTGTTCATATGCATATTCATTCAATCTACACAGTTTACACCACGGGTGGGCAATTATTTTGGGCACAGGGCCGCTTACTGAGTTTTGGCAAGCCATCGAGGGCCACATGACAGGCAGTCCAGGGCAGATAAATATTAATTTACTAAATTTTTTAGGGGCCCTACTGGTCAGATAGAATGGCCTGGAGGGCCACATCCAGCTCATGAGCTGCATTTTGCCCACCCCTGGTGTAGACTAACCTGCGAAGATTAAACTGATTCAGGCTCAGGCTTTTTGACTGTCTGTACTTAGCCAGGGGACCAGTGTCAGCCTGTGCAGCTGTCCAAAAGCTGCCCTTTCCTCCCCTACTGTTCTTCATCTGTTCTGGAAACCTGCTGGTTCCTCTACCCTCTTACTCCCAATAGCGCCCCCAAGGCTGAAAGATAATGCACTAATAGAATGGAACTGAATTTGGTTATAATCTAACTTATGAACAAGAGAGAAGGAATGGCTTTAATGTTTTCTTCTTACAAATACCTCTGCACTTTTTGAAATCTGTGTGTAAGAAATGTTGCTTTTGTTTGCTACACTGAAGTTTTTTAAAAGCAAATATGCCACTGATGTTTTCTTCAGGAAGACTAAAGTCTTCCTTTTAAAGAAAGCACTGAAAATTGCATCCTGCAACAGCAGCTTGAAAAAATAAACCTGCAAAAATGTATGTTGTTGTGGCTTATTTCTATGTTAATGTGTTTTAAATGCAGGGGAATGGAAATGATTAATTTTTTTTCTATACACTTTCTGAGATTTACATTATTTTGGTGTACAAGATGGGTTTCTCCACATTGGAGCTTATTAGAGGCCAGCTGCTTCTGCTGTAATGTTTTGCATACTCTAATAAATATTTGAGTTTATATTTAGGGTTAGATTTACAAGGAGGACCTAGGTGTCTAATTTCCCTTTAGGAATCTGGTAACTGGCATTCATAGAACCCTGCTCCTATCCCTTTGGGCACCTAAGGCCCTTAGCACTTAAGGTGTCACTGCAGGGCATGCACAGAAACACAGCCACCTAAGAGCTAGACACCTAGCTCATACCTAAACTCCAATGGGATTCACAAGCTAGACAGTCTTCCACCAATTTAGCCCGTGGGCCCTAATCAAATAGATGAGTTCAGAGCATGCCTTAACCCTACCTCCAAAAAGCAATGATAGTGAGGTGTCTCCCCCTTGTATCTAATCAGGCAATGGAGAGAGACTAGTTTCAGATGCTTTCTTTGTCTCATTAAGAGCAGGGAGTTGAACCTAGATCTTCCCATCTTCCAGACTTGTTTCTCCACTGGTCTGTAGGATATTCAAGGTTGAGCCTATGTCTCTTTTGTTGCAGCTGTTTGTATAATACAGATTTTATGTTATAACATACCTTGAAACCTGGCTTTTCCTGTGCAGTGTGCTAACAACCAACTTCTAGAGATACTGTCACTTTTTTTCCCTTCCTGACCCAATGACTACTTTATACATTAATGCTTAAAGATAAACATGTTATATTAACCTGATATTTTTTGCTTGGAAAGATAACTTTTTGTGCGTTCATTTTAAAACAAGGGAAATGCAATAGATCTGATCTACTTGGTAAAGCATTTGATGTGGTGCCAGGTATGGAAATGATTAAACTAGGGAAGATTGGGAATTAATAAAAATAGAAGATATGTAAGGAATTGTTTAATGGAGAGACAGTAGGGGGGTGTACTGAAAGGAGGGGGGTTACTGCTGGAGGTTTTCAAGAGTCAGTTTTGGGAACTAATCTTATTGTATATTTTCATTAGTGACAGTGGCATTAAAAGGTAGGAATATACTAGTGCAACTTGATTATGACAGAAATTGGGAGGGAGCATCAACATGAAAGAGGACTGGACTGTTATACAGGAATAATTTGATGATGTCAAGGACTGAAGTAATAGAAATGGATGAAAATAGTACAACAGGCAGTCATGCATGTAAGAGCTAATAAGAATTTTTTTGCTGTAACCTGGGGGCTTGTCACTTAGAAACAACAGAAGAGGAGAAAGTCCTAAGTATCTAGCTGTGACCCGTGAATGTGATATAGCCATGAAAAAGGCAAACATGATCCTAGAATGCATCAAGCAAGGTGTACAGAGAAGTACTGATACCATAGTATAAAGCATGGTGAGACCTCTGGAGTCTGGTTATCCATGTTCTAGAAAGACAAGCTGGAACAGGGCTTGCTAGGATGGTCAGGGGAATAGTTTGTCGTTAAAAGAGATTAAAAACTTGATTTGCCTAGTCTGGGTAAAAGGAATGTGGCTACTGCCTATGACTAGGATGGAAACAGTGAAAACTGCTGTTCCCCATGATTTCGCATGCAACCACTGGAAAAAAAGCTTACTAAAAATAAGATGCTAGCTCCCTGTTTTAGCCTGGCCTTACAGCTTGACAAGTGGGGGAAAAGGGGTAAGCCCCTTGCCATTGACTGGCAGAGAAGGCTGCCCTTCATGTGGCCCTGCCCCTCACCAAGGGGCAGGGCTGCACAAAAGGCAGTGCTCTTGGCCAATCAGCAGCAGAGGGAAGAGGGGGAAGTTACCATCTTGGCTGCTCTCCTTCATGCTTGGCTCATTGCTGGCAGCAGGTGCTTGTTGGGCAGACAGCAAGGAAGGGACTGGGGCTGCTCTACCCCAGCAAGGGGTGGGTCCCTTGCAGCTTGCCTGCCATCTGACCTGAGGCACGTGTGCACCTGCTGCCAGCAATGAGCCAGGCTTGGGCTCTGCAGACCTTGGTGCGGGGGCTTGCAGCCTCCCAGCTGCCTGCCACAGCTGGCCCAGCAATGAGCCACAGAGCCCAGGCTGCTTGCAGAAGGTGACACAGAGGCTGCAAGCAGTTGCATCGAAGGCTGAGGCTCTTCAGACCAACTTGTTGCTGGCTGTGGGTGCAAGTGCACTCCTGGGTGGGTTGTGGGGAAAAGGCCAGGGCTGCACTGCCCCCAACAAAGAATGGGCCCCTTGCAGTTTTTCCACCATCTGCCCTTGGCCCACCACCATCTTACAATTTGAGGTTGGAGTGATTTTGGCACTGCCCCAAAACACTACCAGCCCCTACTTCAGGGGCTGTCCTTATTACAGTACTATTTTATGCAGGAGAGACATGACCCAGGCTTCCTAACAGGGGGCGGGGTGTGCCTGTGCTGCCCAAGGGGGAAGGGGGGGAGGGGGTGCTATCTTCTGAGGGAGCAAACCTCAAAAACCTTTGACTTTTAGAGAAAAAGAAATTCCACATGTAGACACCTCTCAGCACTGTCCAGTCTCCGCTGCTTTAGCTTACCTTGCCTTAGGGGGACCAACTTATTTTTTTTAATCTCCAATCTCTCCTGAAATCCCCTATTACACCTCACCACATCCAGCCTACCCAGCAGGGTGGCATAGGAACACTAAGGATTGGTACTACTAAGGATTGTTTTCAGATCCTGCTGTGCACTGCAAGCCAGTCCCCTCCCACTTGCATTGATGTAGGCCAGAACCTGCCTGTGTTCTGAAATGCCATCCATGTACCAGGACTCTACACATACACCCAGTTGCATGGTTCATTTAACATAAAAGAAACATTGAGTAGAAGGTTTCATAGTTGGTAGGGTTGGAAGAGACCTGAGCAGATCATCAAGTCCAACCCCCTGCCATGGCAGGAAAGAGTACTGGGGTCAAACGACCCCAGCAAAGTGTCCATCTAACCTCCTCTTAAAGACCCCCCAGGCTAGGAGCCAGCACCACTTTGCTTGGAAATTGGTTCCAGATCCTAGCTGCCCTGACAGTGAAGTAGCGCCTCCTGATGTCTAATCTGAATTTACCGTCTGCCAGCTTGTGACTGTTACTTCTAGTCACTCCTGGCAGTGCTTGGGGGAACAGGGACTCTCCCAGTGCCTGCTGGTCCCCTCTGACTAGTTTGTAACAGGCCACTAGATCCCCCCTCAGCCTTGTCTTGTGGAGGCTGAACAGGTTCAGGTCCCGTAGCCTCTCCTCATAGGGCCTACCCTGCTGTCCCCTGATCATGTGAGTGGCCCTCCTCTGGACCCTCTCCATGTTGTCCACATCCCCTTGAAGTGTGGAGCCCAGAACTGAACGCAGTACTCCAGCTGCAGCCTGACC